GAGAGAGGGAGAGGGATAAACGTGACAGAAAACTCGACGAGGGCAGAGCGGAGGTCGGCACGAAGGCACGAGACCTACGAAAGCTAGTCTTCACGCAGACAGCGACAGACTAGTCCCAATGACCAAGTTATACATTAGCAATCGAAGGGAGATACAACGCTATGGTCACTCACCTAGTCCCAATGACCAAGAGGTCGAGATGGGGACTAGGGAGCGCCTAAGGGGGTCCTTATATACTAGAAGGGCTGCTTAGCAACCAAAGACAAGGCGCGAGAGCGAGGCAGTGAAGATGACAAAGGGAGAACAAAGGGCGAGAAAGAAAAGGCAAGAGCATGGTGATCACGGGAACGGAGCATGTGGCAGTGGGAACGTATCTACCGTGTCCAAACTGGGATGGGCTAAGAAAGGAAATGGTCCGAAAATGGAAGGTGGGCGTCAAGGGGAGGGGAATGGGCGGCAAAAAGGGGCGTCTGTCCAGCGTCCGTGACAACGAGAAGGAGTAGTCCAATAGAAAAAGATAGGGGGTGGGGCGTACCAACGGTAACAATGACGTCCCCGAACCATGTCATACCCGGCGAGGTCGTGCAATCTGCGCCGCCGCTTCTCTTGATGCCTCACTTATCTGGACTGAATGCAGTAAATCTGTATGATGCACCCCTGACTTCTCTTGTAGATGTCTTCCTACAAATTCTAGAGGTATGTACAGATGGTGCATGCTTTGCGCGTTCATTGATGCAGTGGTTAGGGAGTCGAATACCTGCACAGCCAGCAAATTGCACATCTAGTACGTCTATCAAGCTTATGTGAGTCTGGTTTTTTTTAACTCGACTCTCGCCCAGGATTTGTGCACGGGAAACATTGTTGCAGCCTTTGACGAGCACGCGGTTCACGACAAGCGAGTCGAGGCGGGAAAGATCTACTTGATCGACTTTCAGATGTCACGTCAACTCAGGCTACCACCCGGTCAACAACCTGCCATTCTCCTCCCTGAGACACAAGTCACGCCTCCGGGAGGCATCAAACAGTTGGACCCTTATTCCTGGGACGTCTATTGTCTAGGCGACGTCTTCAAACGCAGACTGAAGGTGCGGATCATTGTGAAGGCCCTCACCCCGCCACTGATGATTTCTACACGGGCTTAGTTGTATTCTTTCGGGCGTACAGCGGAACCGTGGATTATCCGTCGGTATATCCGATGGTTGACTGGTATTGAACATGGCTGCGTAGGATCCTGTCATTGCCGCCCGACGGCTCGACAAGCACGTCGCGTGTTGGCAATGATCCGTTGGGCTGTCTCTGTTGCGAGCAAGGTTGAAGGACTAGCTACCCTACTGGTGTCCGTGTTCAGGCATGAGCCCACAGCGGAATAGAACGGTTCCGTAGCAGTTGCTTTGTATAACTTCCCAATACCACTGCAAACGAAGTTTACTCAATCCTCCAAGCCAGATCAATCACTTATTATGTGCCAAGCTACTCCCGCAGAGTTCTTCGCTACCCGCTGGTCCCAGGTCAATAATCCACTAGTAAACCCTCCGCATCGCTCGCTGCAACAAATATATAAAGGGCACAATAGTTGGAACACTTGCCTAATCCCCGACATCTGATTCCGATCTCGATGTCAGCATTGGTATGACATGATACGAGAAGCGCTGTCTGTATGTACATGAGAGAAGAAAGGGGATCGACAGAAATTCAGAACACTAGTGAGGGGCGTGGTGGGTTATGATACACTGAGCTGACCGTCGTCGAAATCCCAGAGCAACCTTGATGTAGAGAAAGCACAAATTCAGTGGGGTCCGAATCACAGGAAAACACCGCTTACCAGACTTGTTACGCGCGTCAGATGCCAGGGGCAACTCTGTCTTGAGTGGATCTCGTTACTGTCAATGAGCTGGGGAAGCTGACAAAGTATGCAAGACACCGCAAAAATGTAGTCTTGTTCAATTCGAGATCCATCGTGGAAGGGTGTGCGATCCAGGGGGTGTACATGTTCAAAGTTATGCCAAGAAGTTCAATTTCATACTTGATGTTTGGCAAGGAACCAGCAGTATTCTCGGAGGTGTAACCAACACGGGAGACCTGCAGTGTGGTGGTACCATAGCGGAAAACTATGATACCCTCTTCTCTGGTGGCTCGGAAGAGTTCGCTGTCGCTCATTTGTCTGATCTTGGAATGAAGAAATTGCATGGCAGCCGGGATTGTGTACTCGAAATCAGTCGACATGACGACTCTTGCTTTCCAATGGGCTGTCAGTTCCGGAGGGCAAGATGAGATGTTAAGATGTTCTCACCAATGACAGAGATCGATGAAGTAGAAGCGTACACGAACAGTATGAGACCTGAAGTGTTTTTATAGATACCCATAGAGGAGCTCCATTGTTGTCTATATAAGGCAGTGATTAATGTATCAGGCTTCTCGTGAACGGTCTCCGGGCGGCATGGGCATCGATAACGAATGGTTGAAGGCCGCTCCTTCAACAGGTGACCATCTTGCTACGTTCCCTATCCTGGAATCCACCTTTGGCATATCACAAGAGGGTCCTATGAAGGGAGATGCCGCCCAAGAGCTTACTAGTGTCATACAGATCACCCCCTAGTATCACAATCGCACTCAAACACAGTATCAGGAGAGTCGTTCCACCGTTGTTGCTGTGCTTCAATCGGAATGGAGCACACTACCCTTAGTCTGGATCATGCTGGGGGGGGGGGGTGAGTGTAGGCGACTGATGGGTCGATTCATGCTCCACGCATGGCTGCATCGTTGAGTATAATGACTTCTCTTGTTGCAGCTCCTGAGAAAGCTTAGTCTGTGCGTCAGGCGCTCTCGAGGACTTCCGCGGAATCTGAAGCGCTGAGATAAAATCTTGGCCTCGTCTGTTTGGCCCTGATGGTGGATATCATGACGAGCCACCGCGAAAAGCCATAGTAGCCACTAGACGTTCGATGTCCCAACTTTCGATCCTCACACCACCATACGCCCCCTTGCATACATGGAGAACGCCACAGAGTCAATCCTCAGCGTACCACAATTTCTACAGAATCATGTTGAGCTCAAGCATCGGGGAATCATGCTGGAGGGACCTATCAAACCAGTTAATAAGTCTTTCGTTCTGCTGCCTACATTGCGTGACTTACAGCCTCCTTCTAGCTCGTCGTTTATGAAACTTCTTGGCGTACAACCCCATGCATAGTGGTCAAGATCCTTAGCTCCGAGAGCCAAGAGGCAAAGATCTCTGAAAGGCTCCAGGATGATCTCCGCTCTCCGAATCACACCATACCCAGCGAGGTTGTTACGTCTGAGCCACTTTTGCTCTTGATGCCTTGCTTGTCACCCCTCAATCGCCTGGGTTTGCGCACTAAACCACTGAGTTTTGTGCTGTATTTCTTTTCCCAAATAGTTGAGGTGAGTTGGAGACCGCACTACTACAAGTACTCAGGAGCTGATCGTGTTCGTGGTCTAGGGACTAGGATATCTTCATTCACAGCGAATTGCACACTTGGTATGAGCATGTGAATGTAGTCAATGACTGTTATGCTGACACTATCTCACCTAAGGATGTATGCATCAATAATTTGGTCATCGCACTCAACGACCCAATGGTCATCGACAAACGAGTCGAACAACATCAGGAAAACAGGTAATCACTTAATGCCCCTTAAAGTCGCCTTTAAGGGCATTAAGGCGCCTAAGTTGCCATTAAGCGTGGGTAAGTCGTAAGAGTTAAGATGCACGATTAAGACCATTAAGTTGAGCGAGCGCGGAAACGTTCCGCGCCGTCGTCGGGCACGTTTGCCCCTGTCACAACACTTGTACAGGCTTTCAATGGACCTTTACTTTACTCTGCTCCAGCAACAAGACACTCTATGGAGTTGAGAGTGAGTGACTTCGAGTTATGTGCAGGAGAGCTAAGCGGTCTAAGGCGCTAAGCCATTAAGGGACTGCATGGTTTACTGATGAAGGGAAGATATACTTCATCGACTTCCAGAGGTCGCAGCAATTTCAGTCACCGCCAGGTAGTCAGTCGGCCATAACGCTACCACAGAGCCAGATCAGGCCACCATCCAACATCAAGGACTTTGATCCTTACTCTTTGGATGTGTATTGTCTCGGATGCCTGCTCCAAAATAGGCTAAAGGTGTGCATGTCCTAACTGCTATACTGGGGACGGCTACCAAATCTCTCTCTCAATGCAGTTTCATTGTCTCAGCAAACCGAAGCAGCCATGGATCGCTCGCTGGTATATCGATTGGCTCATTGGCACCGAACGCGGCTGTGCTGTCGCCTGTCGCTGCCGTCCAACGGCTCAGCGAGCATATGAGGTGTTGATTGCCATCCGATGGGCAGAGCATGTGAGCGAGTTTATTGGAAGAATCGTCACAATTCGAAAGACTTTGCTCGTGCAGCGAATTTTTAGTACGTGACGGGAAATGTGAGTACATTGCTTCCAAAGCCCTACTAGAGATTCACCTTGTATTTCAGAGAATTGTAACAGCCCCATGAGACAGATTACTGGGTCCATACGTGGCATTACAATTACTTAGAGATATGTATGTGAATTAGACGGAGTTAGCTATGCAGAGCACAATGCGAGACTCGAGAGCATCGAAAATTCGAGCGCAGGCACGCAAGCCACGCTACCGCCTCGCCCTACAGGACAAAGTTCGCTGTAAACGGAGACGTGCGCCAAGTAGCGAATGCGGTGTGGAACCCGCATGAACATCGGGAGTATCGAGACTTGTGGTGGTGCTTCTCTATAATCTCGGTTCTGCGGGTCGGATATTGAATGATTATGACCGATATACTTCTCTTTCGCGATCCTGGTTATAATCCCTTCCTGCCGATGTCCGGCGTGATAAATGCCAAGTGTGATAGCGGATTCACTACCGGTACGAAGACGCAGATTGGATATACGTAAGGTCGTCGATGATGTGCACAGGCTACAGGGGCCGATCAATGGAGTCATAGACTCAGGTATGCATCCATGGCATGTTAACGGCGGGAAGGGCGTGAGTGTTCGTGACTTGCTCCTGAGCGTACGCGGGAAAAGCAATGTGGATGGAAGTGAGATTGAGGAAGCGCAGATACGCGTGAGCAATTAGCATCAGGATTCGAGGGGCTCTTGAATATTATCAGACTATATAAGCTGCCTATCAGTATGTCAGGTACGCAGCCGCTGAGTCGTTAGCCTGAGGCCGTAAGCGGGAGACAGCAAGGGTTACTCGCTTCCGGCGTCCCGACCTGCAATCCCAATCGGATTACAACGCATGGGTATGATCCGCGGGCTTGCTCATAGAAGATGATATTTCGTTATATACGTCGTGCCGGCATTCGACATCGCCGCCGCCCGCGGTGCGACAGGGTTGTACACCCTTACTGCTGTCTGCTTAGCTTCTTTCAAATCATGGACGTGGACATGAACGAGGCCGACTCCCTCGCCTAAGACCTCCCTACCCTTACATTCACAGTCCTAGTCCTCATACTAGGTGGTTAGTGTATGGAACAGCTCGATAATCGGCCAGTTATGCTTCCATGATGTCCTACGGATGGTCGTGCTGATCGCTAGCGGTGTTAGAAACCCCAACGGTTACTTCGCCTACAAGCCTGCCCGCTCGCTCCTCGCTTGCTCTTCGTCCTTCCTGACACAGTCCTAGTGTCTCCCTGCAAGGGCGCGCTCTCGTCCATTCTGTCTGCGTTGTCCTCCTCTCCCTGCTGACAACGCCGTGTGGCGTAAAGCGCCGCGTAACGACTGCGGGGATGTTCGAGTAAGAAAAGTTGACGCTTTCTAGTCGCCACCGGGACCAAACACATGCAAGCAGGTAATAATCTCGTATTCGAGGGCGCTCTTTTTCATGGAAGTCGGTGTGGAGCATTCGTACCTACGGTGCTTCCATATTGAAGTTCGAATGCGTTGGCGGATCTATGCCACCTTTACGAACCACCATCTCATTATACTGAAGCTCGTTCACGAGTACAAAGCATACGTATTTCCCTGAGACTTTGTGCTGTGCTGATGTGAAGATATCAGCGTAGACCATTCACGGTGTTCTCCATTCATTCCACAGACCTCTAAGCGCGGACCAAGATATGAGATTTTATACGCGCAAATAAGGAGGCGAGAAACTCGCAGAAACTGACGAGTAATTACGGATCACCATCACTGCGGGTTGACATACCCAGCGACACCTTCGTTGGTGTAGCCCAGCACGTTCACGAAGTCGTCCACCTCCGCCTGGTCTGTCGTATAGAAGTCGAAGTTGGCATCGTCCATGTCCTTGTACAACCAATACAACGGTATCGTGCCGCACTCCTGGTCCGGATACACGTATCCCACCACGCCCTGGCTAACATAGTTCCCGCGGCCCAGCACGACATCGCGCTGCGTCGTGTTCGCCGTATAGAGATAGTCTGTTGACTTGGCTCCATACAAACGGAAGAGCGGGATGGCCGTAGGAGCCTGGGTGTCAGACGGGAGGATCTGCGCCACGCCGCCCTCGGAGATGTAGTGGTCCGCGCCATTGATGAAAGCGTTCATTTCGGTCGCGTTCGTGGTGTAGAAGTGAGCGGTCGTGGAGTTGGAATAGGCACGGAGGAGCGGAACGGTAGGATACCCGCAGTCTGGTGCGGTTGCAGGCTGTGAAAGAACGGCGAGTCAGTGGGAGTCCCCGATGCAGACATGACGTTGTGCTTACCTCTAGGGCGGCACGAATTGCGGGCGAGGCGGAGGCCATCGCGCAGAGTGTGGAGAGAAATATAGTAACGGCGGAGAACTTCATGGTGGGTGGCACGCAGCTCTTCTGTACACAAGAGTGCTGGAGAACACGTCGTGGGCTGCAGAGGATGTTATACTGTCCCCCTCGCCGAGTATAACGGATGTTTGGCTAGCACTTGGGACAGAAGGAATGTCAACGACACCGAGACGAGCCCGGTTGCAAACTTACCAGTCAGGTGCAATGGACGTCTTGCCGTAATACGCCCTCTCTATATGGTCTGTGCATGGTATGTAAACTTCTCATCAGAAGAGTTGGCTGTGGCAGCACCATTAATGTTCGCGGAGGCCGCGGTCTTGGAGTCGGGATCTGTGCATGGGTGGTGACTCTCTCGCTGATAGGCTGTTGAGAACCTGACAATCATATGTTCCCCGCAAGCGGTCACCTATATGATGGGACTTTGCAACAAGCTGAGGTTGAAGTCAATGATAGCACGAACAAGACGGACCTCCGGGGCTTAAAGTGTGAGCGTCCGAGTAGTCTTCTTACCGACAGAGACGTCCGAGATTTCCGATGATGCGCGTTCCTTGCCGGTTTTCACTCCTCAGCCGACTCGGGCCTTGTCACCTCGCGAGATGGGCCTCGTCCGAAGCCATGAAGCTGTCCAGAGGATTGCCTTGCAGTGGAAAACTGCGCCCTGATTTGCCCCTGCTCGTCATGCGTCATGATGGTGTATGCAACGGATGTGGCCACTGTCGGTAGGAAAGTCGAGTCAAAAGGGAGACAGAGGCATTAGCAGCAAGGACAACAGGATGGAAGCAGTTTGAACTTCGGGCAGTCGGACTCGTAGCGTAGCCGATGCGTTTTTAGCGCCGTGGGCCTGGGAGGGATCGTGATCACCCGGACCGCGGCCGGTCTCCTATTTGACGTTCCCCTGTTTGACGTTCCGTGTTGACCCCGTCCAGTACTGTTCTTGCTGTCTCCCCGCCCACGGCCCAGCGAGCAAGTGCCTACCGGGCCTGTGCTCGACAAATCGATGAACAGCATAGTCCGACTAGACTCGACAGACTCTAATCGACGACAACCACCAAAGGTTTCCGAACCTTTGACCCATCAGCGATTTCACTACTGCCGTGGTTCCACATGCGCCCTCCAATCCTGCTACAGCATTTACCATATCTTAGCACCTAGAGCAATGGCGCGTACATCGCACGTCACTGAACTCGCAGCCAGGACTGCCTCGCCGATCTTACCTGCTCGAGCGACGCCCACGAGTTGGCTTGCACGGACACGCACGCTCTTCACACCCTCACAGCGTCAAAAATAGCGACCAGAGATTCATCGACTGGCTTGTTCCGTCGGCACGCATAGCCGTCCTCGCGAAGCGGTTCCTCCGAGTCTTTGCATTGCTGGTCAAGTTACCACCACACTTCGTCTTCGTCATTCGGGCTAACAGGAAAGGACCTGGACAATGATCGCGAACGAGTACGAGACCGCGAGCAGAGACCCTGGCTGTGACAGACCGGGAGAGGAGAGGTAAGATAAGAGTTGAGGCTGACCGCATCTCGTCGCAGCAGAACAAGGAGCGCAAGCAACTCTGGCACCGCGTTTGGACTCTCAAGCAGCCTCGCGGACCTCAAATCGGAGACGCTTCAGCTCTCTGCGTCCGTGGGGCTGTAGGCTGGCCTTAAGGAGGTGGCGAAGTTGTTGGAGGGCAGAGAGCACGTACAAGATCCGACGCTGGTGCAATTCGCCTTGCAGGTATAGGAGGTGTGTGGTGCGTAACACGGATTATGTACACGTCTTGCTAAGGGCTGCTGAAGGAGGCGGATGAGTAGCCGAGGGGGTAACACACCCCACGCATCGCGACGGTAAGTCTCTGCCTCGTGGTTCAGCGGCTTTATGCTCATATATACGCATCGCTAACGTCGTTGGAACCTGAAGGCCTCAATGATGACTTCGCCGATCTCCGCACTCGCTCTTCGCCTGAAATTCGTCCCCCTGTGACACAGTCATAGTGACCCAATTCGACTTCACCCCCTCGTCCGTCGCGTCCGTGTTGTCCCCGTCTCCCTTCTTGCTCTTTCTCGCGGAAGCGAACCTCGTTGGCTTTTTGCCGTCCTCACGCTCGCCGGTGCATACCGGCCGCCTGCTCTATAGAGAACCTTGGGCTCTGCGGCGGCACCAACTTCCCAGTATGTGGGTTCACGGAGGCGTACGCTGGGGAGTGAGGTCAGTATGGCATCCGCGTCGACAGTGAGTGTATCAAGACTTGCGATGGTGCTTCTATATGAATTCGGTGCGGAAGGTCGGTTCCTGAAGCATTGTTGGGCTACAGGCTTTCCTCAGTGGACTAGGTAGAGCGGGGTCTGCGTGTCCACGTTCGAGTCGTCGTTCCTCTCCCTTCGCGTTCGAGATGTGCCAGGCTCTGTATGATGGTACGTCAAAACATCACTCTCATTCTTACCTCGCGCGCCCCTAGCTGTGAGATAATGCTCACAGCTTCCTGATGTAGGAGGGGTTTCACAGAGCACCGATCTTTTCGCATGCACAATATACCATTCGTGAGGTCTCCTGCTAAACGCTTCAAATGGCAGCCTCCTCTGCTCAAGGTCCATCGGAGTTCCGCGTACGCGCCAGAAATAGGCCTGCAGCTTATCTCCTGTTTCCTTGCCTCTATTATAGCTTATCTGATCGCAGGCCACCATCGCACCCGCTCCTGGTGATAGGATGCTTCTTATCTAGGTTCTTGTGCTCTGACCTGCTCAGTCTCATTGCCCTTCTGCTAGTTGCACTACTGTCTAGGCTGGCGTCGGGGTCGCATTACTTGGGGTTGAATTTCTGAAAGTCTTGACTCTGGTGTCTGGGATGGAGAAGATACTCGCGTATACGCGCCGCGAGGCGTGGGTGCTCGAGCCGGAGCCATCGACGTTCGCGCCGAACAGTAGGTGGTCGAACAAGGACATGGACCCCGTCCCGCCCAACTGGGTGAGTACTATACATCTTACAACACTGAAGTACAGGCTGCGAAGAGTGCTGATGTAACGTGCGTCAACACGGCTAGAGGACATGGACAACGTTCAACTATATTGCGTATTGGGTGTCGGATGCGGCGAACGTCGCGGTGTGGGAGCTTGCGTCAAGCATGCTCGCTATTGGGCTTACGTGGTGCGCAGTAGATGCTCAATCTTGCCTCGATGTCATCCTCCTCTTCCATACTTACGATTGAGTGCGCACGACCCGAGCATCGACTGACGTCCGCTATACCTCTAGGCGTCAAGCTCTCCCCGCCATCGCCGTCGGGCACATTATCACTTCGATCGTCATGGTGCTGAATGGAATGGCCGGGGCGCGGCTGCACGTCGGCTTCCCGGTGCTGAACCGCTCCTCGTTCGGGTTCTGGTTCAGCTACTTCTCTGTCATCTCCCGCGTCGTACTCTCCATGTTTTGGTTCGGAGTCCAGACGTATACTGGGTCCGAGTGCGTGTACCAGATGCTGAAGGCCATCTGGCCGTCCCTCGCGCACCTGCATAACAGGTTGGCGCCTGGGGCGAACATCACGACTACTGGTATGCACGTCTCTTCTTTGTGAAATGCAAGTGGAAGCTGACGGACAATGCAGGGATCATGTGCTATTCCTTGTACTGGCTCATCCAGTTCCCATTGATGTTCGTCTCACCGCAGAAGATCCGCTGGCTGTTCATGGTCAAGGCGTCCATCGTCCTGCCCGCTTGGCTTGCCATGCTTGTCTGGTCGTTCGTCAAGGTGCCATCGAATAAGGGGTTTTTCGAGCAGCCTAGCGCGCTCTCAGGAAGCGCAATATCGTACGCGTGGCTTAGTGCGCTAAACAGTGCGCTGAGCATCAACACGACCATTGCCGTCAACATCTCAGATTTCACCGTACGTACCTGTTGCATTCCGAGACTGCGAAGAACCTGGCTGACGCTGCGATTGTCCCAGCGCTACGCTAAAAACGCGCAAGCGCAGTGCGTGCAGCTGTTCATCATCCCCATCGCGTTCACTCTGGTCTCGTTCATCGGCCTCGCCGTCACTTCGGCCGGCGTGACACTCTACGGCGGCGCGGTGCTCTGGGACCCGCTGCAGCTCATCGACCACTGGGACAACCGAGCCGCGGCGTTCTTCGCGTCCTTCTCCTTCGTGATCGCCACCCTCGGCACGAACGTATCTGCGAATTCGCTGTCGGCCGCAAACGACATGACGGTGCTCTTTCCGCGGTACATCAACATCCGCCGTGGGCAGGTGATATGCGCGATCCTGGGCGGGTGGGCGTTGTGCCCGTGGGAGATCCTTGCGAGCGCGCAGGGGTTCTTGAGCTTTATGAATGGCTATGCAGTGTTCTTGAGCCCAATTGCAGGGATTATGATTGCGGACGTGGGTGTATGCGCTCTCTTATATTGCATTTCGGGTCGCTGATGCGACGTGCAGTACTGGATCGTGCACCGAGGCAAGGTTGACGTGCCGTCGATGTACCGACCCCGTGGGCGGTACAGGTATACGTATGGCATTGTGAGTCATTTTGAGGAGCGATCGCGAGTTGTCCTCAAGCCCGTCTTTACCTCAGAACTGGAGAGCCGTGGTTGCTAGCATGTTCTCAGTACCTCCGAACATGCCTGGCCTGATTTCGTCAATCAACCCGAAGATCGCCGTCGGGAGTGCGTTGAAAATTTACGACTTCGCATGTATATTTGGGGTACGTTGCCATCCGTTGACGACGAGAAGTTACTGCAGTAGCTGACCAGTACTGGCGATCCCTACACAGTTTGCAGTCGCCCTAACAGTGTTCTCGGTCTTATCCTTGGCCTTTCCGGCGACCAAGACCTTCTTACGCGAAGCAGTCACGAGCGAAGATTTGGGAGAGTATTCAGAAAGTGAGAGGTCATCGCACATCGAGAAGGGCGTGGATTCAGGTATCTTAGTTGTCTGATTGATTTGACCAACGCAAAGTAAGAGTTGTTAGGTGTTTGATACATTCACGATAGGTTACTGGATTCATGTTTGCGTGTTGTCTAGAGGACGAGAGCGTGTCTGTGAGGTCGTTCCATTCCCCCACCAACTCAAAGATCACTTCTACCCTAATGTTCCATCCGTCCACAAGCGCGAACTCCGAACCTGGTCCGCGGATACACCCTTTCGTGACGTTGGTACCGATTGGGGGGACAAAATCAGACGCCAACAGTAAGACGACTGCCTTGCTCAACTTCGAGACCGGGAATATGCCACTTCCAGAGGCCAGCACGGCACTCCGCAAGCGCACATCACGAACTGGGACAGCACCGTGACGTGGGCGAACGCTACACGACCCGTTCAGTAGGCACGAGCAGGGAAAGGTCTCGAGAGGGTACTCGCAAGGCTGTATTGAAAGACCAAGAGGAAGGTG